AAAAAAAAAAAAACAATTTACGATCATGGATTACAAAAAAAAACAAACATTTCGATCATGGATTACAAACATTCGATCATGGATTACAAAAAATTCTATCATGGGTTAAACAAAAAAAAAAAAACAAAAAATTCAATCATGGATTACAAGAAAAAGAAACAAACATTTCGATCATGTATTACAAAAAATTCGATCATGGATTACAAAAAATTATATCGTGGGTTACAAAAAAAAAAAACAAAAAATTCGATCATGGATTACAAACAAAAAAAAAAAACAATTCGAACATGGATTACAAAAAAATCAATCAAGTATTACAAAAAAATCTATCATGGATTACAAAAAAAAAAGAAAAAAAATTTCTAAAAAAAAAAAAATTTCTGTTCTTCCGTACGGGACTCGCCGATTCCGTACAGTGAATCGGCGAGTCACTGTGCAGAAATCGTCCGGTTATCTCTAGAACCAAACGATTCCCGTTTTTTTTCACTGATTCGATTCGTCCATGGCGATTCCCGAGTCGAACCGGGCGAGTCCGGTTCGACTCGGCGTTTTTTTAAACACTGGTCTCAAGTATGAACTTTGAAATATAAAGGGAAAATTACATAAGCCCAACCAAAATCAACTATTCATTCAACTTACCCCCACTTAAAACTTTTTTACTGCTTTCTTTTTTTTTAATCCTAATTTCCTAACAAATAACCCCTACCAAAAAAAAATGAAATCTAAGACAATAATACCCCTTTTTTACCGACGAACCTATTTCTACTCTCGCTCCCTCTCTCTCCAATGGCACTCTCTCTTCACGATTTACCCACCTATTTCTACTCTCGCTCTCTCTCTTCACTGGCACTCTCTCTCTTCACAATTTACCTACCTATTTATACTCTGGCTCTCTCTCTTCATGATTTAGCCACTGTTACCAGTCCGACGTTCGTATACTGCAGTCCGGCGATTAGGAAGGGCAATCTGGCATTTTCATGGGGCACTCTAGCGTTTCATCTCACTGGAACTGCCTCGGTCTGACTTTTTGAGGGTCAGTCTGGCATTTTGGGAGGTCAGTCGAACATGTTTAATGTGTAGTCCGGTATTTATGTCACTGGAACTGCCCTGTCTGACGTTCTGAGGGGCAGTCCGACGGTTAGGGGTGCCAGTCCGACGTTCGTATATTGCGGTTCGGTATTGGGGAAGGGCAATCCGACGTTTTTATGGGGCAGTCCGGAGTTTCATCTCACTAGAAATGCTCCGGTCCGACGTTCAGAGGGTCAGTCCGACATTTTGAGAGGTCAATCCGGCATGTTTAAGGTGCAGTCCGGCGTTTATGTCACTGAAACTGCCCTAGTCTGATGTTCTGAGGGGCTATTTGGCAGCTAGGGAGGCTAGTCCGGCGTTCGTTTATTGCGGTCCGAGGATTTGTTCTGTTGGAGGGGCGTTCCGACGTTAAACAAATTCGATCCATTAATTTCGTTTTATTGGACCCAAAAATGACTTTTTAAAATACATGAAGGGTATATTTGTCAAAAAAAAATCACTTTTTGTATTGGGGGGTATTTGCTGGAAAACATAATTGTTGAGAAAATTTTTTTTAGGAAAGCTAAGGCAGGGGGGTAAGCTGAATGAATAGTTATATTTGAGGCGTCCTCGTTCCATATAGAAGTAAGGCACACCTTCAAAATTTTACTTAAGATGTAATTTTGGTGCACGAATCTTAGGCTTGAAATTTTGTTTTTATTTCTATTTATGGAATTTAAACTTTTATAAATTGTACAAGTCAGAGTCAATTTATAAAGATTTGAAAATCTTGAAAATAGACTGTCCAAATAACTTGTTGCAAGATTGACTATTTTTAAGGTGCACCTCACAAATTCACTAGGTTGTTTTGATCCCAAAAATCCTTAAATCGATTGTCCTGATCTCAAGATGTATGAACATAAGAAAAAATGGATTTTCAACTTTGGAAATGGTGCATCTTGTAATGCATTATCTGGACTGTTAATTTGCAAGTTTATCAAGTTTTCTTAAATCTACTCGATCTACACTATTATTTAAGCTTCAAATTTTATAATTAGAGATGAAAATAAAATTTCATTGAACATGAAAAGGACATACAAAACAAACGCAGATGACATAAACATATTGGATAGCAGACTTACATCCAAACAATACAAGCACCTAATAAGATTACACACCCAATACTACATTCTTACACACTTCTTCACACTCTAATCTTCAAAAACTGGTTATATAACTACAAACTCATAACCTATTTCTTTTGGGAAATAAATGTTGCAATCGCGTGATCAAAATCTCAACGGTGAAGTCCATGATTTTGAGAATTGCATTGTTCCATTTCTTTTTAATGGTTAGAACTGAGTACCATCCTCCAAATCCAATCCCAAAGCCCAAGCCTGCACTAATCCAAAATTGCCAGACCTCTGGTGACCCGGTTCTCAAATCCCCAACATTGTTAGATATTGGACTATCACACTTCTTAGGAAGAGGAGGACCACAAAGATTTTCGTTTCCATAGTATGTTGAGGCATCATCGAATGTGCTCATGTGGCCAGCAAAAGGAATTGGACCTGACAAATTGTTGTAGGACCAGTTCAATGCGTCCAAGGAATTCATAGATGACATGCTCAGAGGAATGCCACCGGAGAATAGATTGTTCGAGAGGTCCATCGATTCTAGCTCTTGCAATTGATTAATCTCTTGAGGAATCTTCCCAATCATGTGGTTTCCAGATAGGTTTAACACGCGCAAGCCTATCAAAATTTTGTCAATGATTCTGGAATTCTTCCCGAGAAATTATTTCTCGAAAGATCTATGCATGTCACAAGAGAGAGAAATTCGGTGTAATCCATCATTGACGCTTTTGCCACTATATCAATGCTCACCATATAATAGAAGCTGTGATTGCGATCGTAATTGTAATCAGCCATTTTCTCTGTAACTTTCATTGCTGTGAAGTTTGTGAAAATGTCAGGGATAGTCCCTGAGAGGCAATTTTCAGCAGCATCGAAAACTTGAAGCGAGTATAGACTTGACATAGTCTTAGGAATGGCCCCAATAAGCTTGTTAGATCTCAGAGAGAGAACACGAAGTGAGGTAAGACTTTGGCCAATCCATGATGGTAAATTTCCCGATAATTGATTGTCACCAAGAACCAAAACCTCTAGCTGGGTACAATTTTTTAATGATGATGGGATCTGCTCTGATAATGTATTGCCTCTCAACACTAATGTCATCATATTATTCAAGTTTCCCATGGAAGTGGGAATAGGTCCCATCAATTTATTTCTAGAAAGATCAAGAGCCTCCAAAACCTTCATATTCCCTATGGAGTTGGGAATAAATCCTGAAATACTATTATTGGAGAGATCCAAGATCGATAGATTTGGCAAGACTTCTCCAATATTTTCTGGAATACAACCAGAAATTTGATTGTTTGAGAGAAACAACTGTCGTAAATTAGGAAGCTTGTCATAAGTCTCAGTTTTTTTCACTAGGTGATAGCATGCAACCTCTCGGATTGTCACAGTGCTCGTACAATGTTTCAAGAATCCTAGCAATAATTTCATGCTTTTGCAAATCTGACGGCGTAGATCAGTTGAGGAGCTGATATTCAACATTTCAAATTTTTGTCCCAAACCCATCCTAGTATTTCCAGAAAAGTTGCCGTAGTTGTATAGAAGTTGAAGTCCTTGAGGGTGAGACGCGGTGTTTATTAATTGGCCTTGAAATCTATTTGAACTTAAAACCATATTAATTGTGAATTTAAGATTCCAAATCTCTGGAAGAAAAGATCCCATAAAATTGTTTTTAGATAGGTACAAATGACTAAGCATGGAAAGGTTTCCTATGAAGGGAGGGAGGGATCCTGTGAAGTGGTTTCCAGATAGATCCAAATCACTAAGCATGGAAAGGTTTTCTATGGAGAGAGGGAGGGATCCTGTGAAGTGGTTTCTAGATAGATCCAAAGCACTAAGCATGGAAAGGTTTCCTATAAAAAGGAGGGAGAGATCTTGTGAAGTGGTTTCCAGATAAATATAAGTCAGTCAGCTTGAAAAGGTTTCCAATGGAGGGAGGGAGGGATCCTATAAAGTGATTACTAGATAGATCTAATCCTGTAAGCATAAAAAGGTTTCCTATAGAGGGAGGGAAGGATCCTGTGAAGTGGTTTCCAAATAGATATAAATAAGTCAACTT